ACCCTCCAAAGCTGCTTCCTTAAAATTATTTTTTTATTGCTAATATTAAATTTCTACGCTAAGTCTGCATTTTCACTTAAATTGAAATATCTCACAAACTGTAAGTCCTAGGTATGCAGAACCTTTAATAAAGTTCACCTATTTTTTTACGGTGCTTTCAAAAATGCAGTAAAATACAGGGTGTTCCATTTAAAAAAACATAACTTTGATATGGTACGCTTTTCCTGGACACCCTGTATATTTCAAAATATTTTTAAAATGTAGCCGTAATCAACCTACACATACCCACCTAAACATGTTTCTATAACATTTGCCGTTTGGTCACTAGCGACCGAGGCGTTACTGGTGGCCCACCCTGTATATGCATGCATATACCAACTACTTTTGGAGTTAATAGAATTTACGTTTAACAATCATAGAAACACTTATTTCAATTAAATTAATACATTATTGTATTATCTATAGCAGCAATCAATGCGGGACGGTTAATTAGACCGGTTTTCGCCCCCTTCATTTTTGGCCGAAAGAGGAAAATTTTTTTAGTCAGGATCAAGGTCAATTAAAGGTCAGATTGAGAAAAAGTGTATTAAATTAAAGTATCTCGGAGTTTAGGTTTTATGGCTTGTCCAGTCCAAATCGGAGGCCAATTAGTCTGTATCAGGTTATTTGAAGGTCGTCTCAAGGTCATTTCAAGGTCAAGTTGAGACCAACGTCTAACCGCCTGTTATAAACGTATTTGCAGTTGCTGAGATCAAATCTGAGGTCAGTTTGTCTGCGTCAGGTCATTTGAAGGCCATTTGAAAGTTAATTTATGGAATAAACCCTGGAATCAATTAGTCGCTGAATCCAAATCCGAGGTACATGTATATGTATTAATAAAGGTTCAAGGATATTCCAAGGTTGATTTGAGAAAAAGGACTTCTGGTAAGGTCAGTAAGCTAAAATTGTTGATAATAAAAATAAGTTTTTTAAAATCATTTGAGTTTAAACACAAGTACGTACGTAAGGTTCAGACAAGTTAATCTGAAAGAGCAAATGAGCAGATCTTTTATCTCGAAAACTACTTGTTTCACACAAAAATGACCTGTACGAAGGTTGTAGGACTTCGCATGAGTTTCACATCAGTGACCTAAAACTTGGCCAATCCTCCTTACCATCGGTTCACATTAAGCTAATCGACACAAATCAAGTAGTGGAGGACTAAATCGTCTTATAATTGGACCTTGGATTCGAACTCAGAGACTTCAAAAACGGTAATCGATTTCTTGGTTTTTTCTTGATCTGACCTTTAAATGACCTTGAAACAACCTTAAAATGACCTGATGCAGAGAAACTGACTTCAGATTCGAACTCAGCTAACCCAAAAACCTATATAACAGGCGGTTAGACTTAATTGCTCGGTTTTCTCAACTTGACCTTGAGTTGACCTTCAAATAAGCTGATACAGACAAACTGACCTCGGATTCGAAATCAGAGACCCCAAAATCCCGTATAATATGTGGTTGGACTTGATCGCTCGGTTTTTTCTGAATTTGACCTTGAAATGACATTGAAACAACCTTAAAATGCAGAAAGTGTCTAGAGGCCAATGGTGTTGTTATTGAACATTTAATCAATACATTAACTTTTTGAAATGTATTTCATAGCTTGAAAACAAATGAAAATCGCATAACAACATTTGAGTTTTTTCTTATTATAATAAATTATAAAACTTTCTTCCCACATTAATACAAAAAGATAAGACTAAATATGACAACATGGTTCTACCTTTTGTTAAGTTTTATTTACGTGGTTCAACTCAATGTTTAGATGGACTTTAGTATATAAAAATATTGCAGGAGGTGATTTAAGAAAAAAGACAACTTTATAATATGTGATTTTATGTAGTAAAGAATTAGTTTTCTAGATACAGACTGACAATATTATTATTATAGCATTCAAAGAGACGTAATTGCTCTGCTCTTTAATTTATTTGAGGTGGATATCTCCCAGAACCACCGAAATAAAAGTAGTTAAAAATAGTGAAACCGCCGTTAACTACGCCTGACTTTTCCTATATACACATACAGAAAATTTATCTAGGTACAGAATGTTTCAAATTTCGTGCAAGTTGTGATGCAAGTTAATTGAGTGCTGTTACTGATCCACTGCTTGAAGAAAATTAACAATAATTTCGTATCCACAGTAATCATTTCTTAAGACGATACAATCGCAGCCATTAAAATAATTACATTTCAACTAAAGCGACGTACAATTTTGCTTAATAAATATCGTTTAAACTTTTTAAATAAAATAAAAAAGATAAATGTTTATAATTTCCTGGAATTGACATAGGATATCTTTCTATTTCTGTTCTCCACGAAAAGTTGTCATCCTAGACGAAACCACCAATTTTTTAATCGTCCTTTGCATCTTGCAGGTACGTTCTTCCAGTTGTTCATAACGATTGGAATTTTGTACGCTCAGGTTTTTGGATACGCTGTGCCGATGGTGGTATTTCATTACCTAATGTTAGCGGTGCCAATCGTTTTCGGAATAGTTTTCCTGTTCCAATCGGAAACGCCTGTTTATATGATCAGGAAAGGAAAAGTCGATAAGATACCGAAAGCATATAAAAAATTTCGAGGAAAAGACTACGATCCCTCCGAAGAGATCAAAACCATACAAGAGCAAATGGCCTCAGAAGCGGAGAGTGCTGGATTTTGGGAGACCCTGAAGACCAAGGCCGCTATAAAAGCAACGCTGATCTGCTTCATGCTGATGTTCTACCAGCAATTGTCCGGCATCAACGCCGTCATCTTTTATGCGAAGGAAATTTTCACGTCCGCCGGATCTAGCTTAGAGGCACATTGGTGCGTTATCATCATCGGTATCGTCCAAGTGATCGCCACAGTGTTCTCCTCGTGGTCCATTGAGTTGCTCGGAAGAAAAATTCTGCTGATGGCATCATGCGCCTTAATGGCCCTATCTACCGCTCTATTAGGATTGTTTTTCTCTCTGAAGAACTACGAGGCTCTCGATAAATATGGAATTCAAGATATAGGCTTCCTCCCCATCCTCTCTCTTATAATATTCATCATAGCGTTCTCGATCGGACTGGGACCTATACCATGGCTGGCTTCCTCGGAAATATTTCCTCCGGAGATTAAAGCAAAATGTGGTTCGGCCGCTGCCGTGTTCAACTGGTTTCTGGCCTTTATCGTAACAAAATTCTATTTGAACGTGGCGTCAGCCATCGGTAACGACATTACCTTTTACTTTTTCGCTATTGTGATGGTAACTGGAATATTTTTCGTACTATTTATAATTCCAGAAACTAAAAACAAAACTTTCGCAGAAATACAGAGCGAACTCTCAGGAAAATAAACCTACCTCCATATTGCTGTTAGAAATGTCCATGAAACGCTTTATAAATTGAATAATGTAAATAAACAACATAAAGATTATGCATTTTCTTTAAATGTATGTAGAATTTGGAACAATTTATACGCATTTTTAATCCATAAGTTCGTAATTATGACAGAAGCATTAGTTAATCAAAATATAAAAAAATTATGAAATTTATAAAATTGCCTCGTTTGCAAAACATCAAAAAATTAATCAGGCCGGAATAAAAATTAAGTAAATATATCAAGAGATTATTGAATCAGTAGTTATTTGCCATTCGTAATAAACACTTAACCCCTCACATTTCTTCCACTAATTTTGTTCTTTGTCTAAAATCGAAGCAACATGACACTACAGGGTGTGGCGTGTATAATCTATAAAAATTAAACTACAGCTGCTTAACGAAATTTATAATAGAAAAGTCTTATACCAAAAAGTTATATTCTTGCGTTTTTTCCGTAAATTAAAATTCAATTATGGATCAAAATATTTTCTCTGGAACGGTCCTGTCCGTATGCTCTACGATCAGTTACGTGCTGTAGACCAGCCGCGTAAACAAATCGTCGTTGAAAGATATATACCTACTTCTCAATTTTTGGGGAATTTTTCAATGCAAAAGTACAATCTAATAAAAATAGATATTAAAAAAAACTGATATTTTCTTATTATAATAATTAATAGTAATAAGAGTTCGCAAACAAAACCATATCCATAAACATACAGTTACCAACTGCCTACACTAAACAAATTCCATTAAAATATGGAACAAAATGAAATAAAACTTACCTTTTCCAGAGAAACTGTTGAAATTGATCCCCATTAGCGCGGATACAGGCATGGCACCGACACACCCAATTTTGACGAATATTTTCCCCAATTCCAGGTATTCCTCTAATTGTGTCAGCAGCTTCAAGTATACGGTTTCGCAATTCTTCCACCGTAGCAATTGGAGTATTGTAAATCAATGACTTCAAGTGACTCCAAAGATAAAAGTCCATATGTGCGTATTATGGAAAATCACTTCATCATGGGTAAATGTCGTCTCATCTGTTAGTCTACTTGATTGGCACATTGCCGCAAAAAACAAAACGCATTCGTTGATCTCAATCTGTTGAACTGGTTGCAAATGATAGAGATGCAACAGCTGGCGCCTTAAGATGCGATGTACGGTACGAGATGAGGTTCCTATTTGCTGGGCGGGTCATCAAGTACTAATTGTGGGGTCTTTGTCTTTTCCAACACTGCATCTTCAACATTAAAGTTCACTTGCTGACCACGTTCTTCTCCTCGAGGAATTATACTTGCCGTATCCCACATCCGCTGAACACACTGTAGGATTTTATTTGCACATGGGGGGTGACGTTGTGGTCATCGTTTCCGGTACAACCTAGTCACCGCAAGCCCATTTTCTCCTGCACCATACACTAACACCATATCGACACTTTTGGAAATAGTTAATGCATTGTTTTCTCGGTTCATTGTAAAACTAGTTTGTGCACAAACTAAAAAATTAAGCAAATTAGGAAATAAGAATCTCGTTTTTAATGTAATCGGCACGCTATTTTTATTTTTTACTTCTTTATAAAAATTACAGTGTCACTATCGTGGAATTACAAAATAAAAACTTTTGTCTGGAATCTTTCACTTTTTAACACTGATGGGTCGATGGACGATGCTTAATTATATATAAGGTCTGTTCCAACAAGCGTCAGGGATTGTTTCCGAACCGTTAGAAATGTTTGGCCAGCTAAGTTCTAAATGTGTCTTCACTGAATATATCGCAAGAATTAGTTGGATGCACATTTCGAACGGTTCGGAACCAATTCCTGACTCATGTTGGAACAGACCTATAATAGTATTTAATAATTAAGTGAATAATAAATTCAGTACAAATACAAAATCAGTTGACTATACAAATTTTTTGACAATGTAACCTAACCTTCTTTTAGTATTACTAGTATTAGATTATACCGACTTAAATAATAAGGTTGCATCTCGGGTCGCATAAAATTATTTCTAAAGCTTTTAATAAATAACACAGGGTCGGCCTTCATTTTCGTTGAATAAATAAACTTTAATTTACAAAAACAAAACGCGAAGATGGAACTTTTTCGTATAAGAGTTTAAAAATATCATCAGGAAGCTGTAATTTAATTTTTATAAATTATACACGCCACACCCTGTATATAGGTAAAAAAAGATTCTAGAATGCATCCACAATAAAATATAAATGAATTTTACTAAAATGAGCGACTTTGGAAACGCATTTTAACCAGTCTTTGAATCTTGTAGGTACGTTCCTCCATTTGTTCATAACTATCGGGATTTTGTACGCAAAGATTTTTGGATACGCTGTGTCTTTGCTGGTATTTCACATCTTAATGCTCGCAGTGCCGATCATTTTCGCAATTAGTTTCATATTCATGCCCGAAACACCCGTCTACTTGATAAGAAACGGAAAATTAGATAAAGTTCCGAAAACCTTCCAATTCCTACGCGGCAAAATGTACGACTTCAGCAATGAAATTGTAATCATAGAGGAACAAATAGCCGAAGACGCGAAGAGGCCCGGATTTTGGGAGACGATGCGTACCAAGGCCTTCAAGAAGGCGGCACTCATATGCGTGATGCTGATGTTCTACCAACAGTCGTCTGGCATCGTTGCCATACTCTTTTTCCTAAGTGAAATCTTCAATTCGGCTGGATCAAGTTTAGAGCCTCAATGGTGCGTCATTATAGTCGGCATTGTCCAGGTTGGTGTTAGCATGATTTCCTCGTTAGTCATGGACATATTCGGTAGAAAAATTTTGCTGATTGTGTCGAGTGCCATTATGTCTGCCTCTGCCGCTCTGTTAGGATTGTTCTTCACCTTGAAGAACAACGCACTTATCGATAAAGACGCCGTGTACAACATAAGCTTCCTTCCCGTAACGTCGCTAATGCTATTCATCTCAGCGTTTTGTATTGGCCTTGGCCCCATTCCGTGGATGGCTCCCACGGAACTGCTCGCTCCAGAAGTTAAGGCAAAGTTCGCTTCAGCCGTATCTACCTTTAATTGGCTGCTAGCCTTTTTCGTCACGAGGTTTTTCCTCAACGTAGTGGACGCCATTGGTAGCGACGCCACCTTTTACATCTTTGCTGGTATTACAGCAACTGTACCGTTTTTTGTATGGTTTTTATTTCCGGAGACAAAGGGGAAAATCTTTATACAAATCAAGGCTGAACTTGAAGGAACATCGCCAGAAGAAATGTGATAGTTTATGGAACAGTGTAGAAGTTAAGTGACGAAATAAAGGACATAAAAAATCATATTCTTTACTTTCTGTTCCCACTCTATAAAGTAAGATAGACGCAATATAGTTTGAATTTATGATGGTTTAATAAAAACTGATTCATGTCATGAGATCATTTCAAGCTTGATCAGCTAAAGCAATTGTTAATGCGCAAAAAGTAAAAAAGCATAAAGATAGCTAATATGGTAATATGAAATATACTGCGTGTTTATTAAACATACGGCAAAAATTGAAGGGGTTATTCCCTGGACTATTCTAAGAATATTTTGTTCATTGCTGATTTTTGAGAAGCCGCTTTGTTCCAAAGATACAGGGCGAGAAAAATTTTCGACAAAACCAATTTTGATATTTTTGAAATTATGAATACAGTTAAAATAAAAGTATGACGTACTACACTGGGTTTATCTCTTCTTTTTTGGAAGAAAAAAAGGAGGCAACGTGGATTTGATTTAATACGCCTCGTGATTGATCATTTTATATGTGTCGAATTTGTTGAGACTGATTGACGTTTGGCTGTTTGACGTGGATTTTTTGTCTTTAACAGTTAAACTTTTGTTATTTAAGTACTCTATCATGAATCACTATACGAACGCCGAGATGACTGACATGCATCTCATATACGGACCTGCTGGTGGCAGTTCATTAAAAGCTAGGCGGTTGTACATTGAACGATTTCCTGACCGTAATGTTCGTGATAGAAAAACCTTCCAAAATATTCATCAACGTCTTCATGAAACATGCACATTGAAACGAAGTGGAGGACCAGGAAGGGCGATGACAGTGAGAACTGTAGAAGAGGAAACGAATGTGCTGGATATGATACAGGTAGATCCAGATACTTCTACTCGAAAAATTGCACATATTTTGAATGTAAGTTTGGACCATTTGGAATATTCTTAGGGACTATTTGTTGTACACATACCACATACAACGCGTTCAGACACTTCTTCCTACTGATTTTCATCCAGTCAATGATTTTTGCATACTTTGATTCAAATCCGTCAACTACTAACATTAATTGTTTTTACTGATGAAGGAAATTTCTCAAGAAATGCCATAAGTAATTTTCATAACAACCATGTGTGGGCTGAAGAAAATGCACATGAGGTACTTGAAGATTGTTTTCGACATAATTTTTTGTCGTTGAACGTTTTCTTGCAATTGTGGATAACTGGCTAATTGGAACGGTAATTCTACCAGGAAGACTTACCGGCGAAGTGTATCGCAATTTTTTGAAACAAACGCTACGTCAGTTTCTGGAGGATGTACCATTGGCAACAACAAATGCAATGTGGTTTATGCACGATGGTGCACCAGCACATTTTAGCGTGGTTGCTGGAATGATCGAGGTGGACCTCACTTATGGCCTGCTCGATTGCTGGACTTAATCGGATAATTGCTGGATGTAACTTAATAAGAAACTACTCTGGTGTTTTTGAAAGAGTTGAGTGAATGAGGAGAAAATTGGATTCTTGTATCCTCACTTTCAACAGTTCTTGTAGATTAAAAAGCTTTACATGTAATTTTCGTTAAGAAAATATTGTTAGTCGAAAATTCTCGTCCTGTATTTTCGGAACAAATGAGAGGACAAAATATTATTAGAATAGTTCAAGGACTAACCCCCTGATTTTTTGCCATATGTTTAACAAACACCTCGTAGAAATCATTTTATTTATCGCAAGTGCTTGATGAAAACGAGATATTTATGTAATGTATAAAAGTGGTAAATTATAGTTCTAACTGCTAAAATACTTAAAATAACAATTAATTACTTGTTGAACAGGAAAATGAATACATATTTTAGGGTGCAAACGTTTTACTTACTATTTGTCTGTTAATGGGTTTCCATCGGAAGACATGAATTTTGTGGCATTTGATGTCAGTCGCTGTAACATTGATTACCGAAAACAGAAAAATCTTTAACATCGAATTTGGTTCGGGACCGGATTTTATCGAGTTTCAGTCTAAGTATTAATTGTTTTACACAGGATGTTACACGCAATTAAAATCATTGCAGATGTTCATATAGTTTTAGGTCGAGCAGGAATAAATTGTAGCAAAATAAGCAACAAATTTACGGTATAAAGAAAATAATGGAAATAAAGAAACTTTGGTTTTTGTAGGTAGTAGATTTCCTTAGGCAATCTTGAAACATAACTATAGTTTAGGTAAATACCAACTGAATGAAGCAAAAGGTTTATTGCAGCTCAGTCACTATTAGAATGACCTAAACATTTTAAAAGTCGTGTTAACATTTTGTAGAATAAGCTTTTATGTACACATGAAGCACTATTGTCGAAGATAAACAAACGTTTGATCAAATAATACTATATTGATTACTAAATAATTTATAATATACAGTATGTATTTCCCTGTAGGTATAGTGTCCAGAAGGATTATCACTTTCCGAGAAAACATAATTTTTAATAAAGAAATTATTTACCTTGGGATACCCTGACTAGTACTCAAACCTATATTAAAATATACAGATTATTTTTCTCAAAAATTGTATTAAATCGGATAGATATGGAGTTAATTAAAAATTAAAAATAACAAATATCACTTTCTTCGTCGTCTTTCATGCACAGCATATCTTCATGTTGGCCTTAGCTTAAAGGCATACTAGTGCGTTTCTTATGTCAGAAATATAAATTTTTCGAAAATTATGAAGCATGATATCAAACGCAAAATTGATTAAATTGCTTTCTCGATTATAAAACAACAAAAAAACTATGCAGTGAGCTGTAAAAACTAGGGAAATATATCAGCAAGTGAGTGCTGAGTCAATCATTATTAATCTCTCGTAATAAACACCAAACCCCTCATACTTTTTCCACAAATTGTATTCCTTGTCTAAAACCGGGGAAAGGCGACACTATATATTTTCATTAAAATGTGCGACCTTCGAATAAGCCTTTTACCACCAGCACCATCCACGTTGCAGATGTTCACTTGACTTAGAGTTATAAAAAGATTTTAACCAACTTTTTAATCTTATAGGTACGTTCCTCCATTTGTTCATAACGATTGGGATTTTGTACGCACAGATTTTTGGATACGCTGTGTCCTTGCTGGCATTTCACATCTTAATGCTCGCAGTACCGATCGTTTGTGCAATTAGTTTCATATTCATGCCCGAAACACCCGTCTATCTCATTAGAAACGGAAAATTAGATAAAGTTCCGAAAACCTTCCAATTCCTACGCGGCAAAATGTACGACTTCAGCCATGAAGTTGTGATCATAGAAGAACAAATAGCTGAAGATGCGAAGAGGCCCGGATTTTGGGTGTCCATGAATACAAAGGCCTCCAAGAAGGCGTCGCTGATATGCCTGATGCTGATGTTCTACCAACAGTTTTCAGGCGTCATCCCAATACTCTTTTTCCTGAATGAAATCTTCACGTCGGCTGGATCAAGTTTAGAACCTCAATGGTGCGTCATCATAGTCGGCATAGTCGAGGTGGGTGTTAGCATAGTTTCCTCGTTGGTCATGGATAAATTTGGTAGAAAAATTTTGCTGATAGTCTCGAGTGTCACTATGGCAATTTCTGCCGCTGTGTTAGGATTGTTCTTCACCTTGAAGAACAGCGCAATTATTGAAAAAGACGATATTGGCAAGATAAGCTTCCTCTCCATATTGTCGCTGATGGTGTTCATCGCAGGCTTCTGTTTTGGTATTGGCCCCATTCCATGGATGGCTCCCTCGGAACTATTCGCTCCAGAAGTTACGGCAAAGTGCAGTTCGGCCGCATCTACCTTTAATTGGCTGCTAGCCTTTTTCGTGTCTAGATTTTTCCTCAACGTAGTGGACGCCATTGGTAGCGACGCCACCTTCTACATCTTTGCCGGTATTACAGCAACTGTACCGTTCTTTGCATGGTTTTTATTTCCAGAGACAAAGGGGAAAATCTTTATACAGATCAAGAGTGAACTTGAAGGAAAATCGCCAGATGAAATGTCGCCAGATGAAATATCGCCACAAGAAATACTATAGTTTATGGAACAATATAACAGTTAACTTTCGAAATAAAGGATATAAAAAAAAACAGATTCTTTACTTCCTATTCCTCAACTAATTGAGCTTTTAATAAAGTAAAATAGACGCGCTATAAAGATATTTTATGTTATTTTTGATAGTGTAATAAAAACTGTTTCATGAATCATAATGATAACGTTTGAAGATTAATTAACTAAAGTAATTTTAAATGCAAAAAAGTTTTGAAAAAGCATAAAAACACATTAACAACTGAGAATATGTTAATACTATTGGTATAAGAAATATACAGGATGATTATTAATTACTTGCACAAACTTTAAAGGGCGAATCATTGACTAATTTTAAGATAAAAAGTTCATATGGACAAGGGTCCGCAGCCGCTTGGTTCTTGAGATTCAGAACGTCCAAAAAAAATTTAGTTTGCTATTTTGATTATATTTTTGTTCAAGAACATGACATTTGACGAAATTCGGAGTATTATTGATGAGAAACTAACTAAAATATTTTTTGTTTCATATTAGAAGGCACCACATACAGTGTTGTGCCTGGATAACCATAACTTTTTTGTGTCGCACTGTATGTCATTTCAACTAAACATTTCCATTAAATTTTACGTACAAAATGCACTGTTAATATTTGTCGCTGAAAGCAGCCGTTTTGTAATAAAATGGGTTTAAAGTTAAACCTGCGTTGGAATTTTGTAAGTTGAGTAATTAAGAGTTTTTAAAAAACAAGTGAAAAAATGTCCTTTATTGATTGAATTGCGAGTCACAAACTTAGATCATTTACAAGACTAATATAAACTACTTCTACAAATAAGTTATTAACGTTTACAATAATAGCTGAAACAAAAATTGTTTTTTGGACGCTGTGTATCTCAAGTATCAACCCATGTTCATATGAACTTTTTATCTTAAAATTAGTCAAAGATTCACCCTGTAAAATTTGTACGAATACTTAATAAATACCCTGTATACAGGGTGTTTCTTAATAACGGAGGTTATTCTTGGGTCCATTTTAAGAAAAAAGTTTCATGTCAACATATGTCCTAAATGTCTTAACTTTTGAACTACAGGGTGCTAAAGTTTTATGAAAAAAAAAAATTATGATAACTTTGCCTACCTACCCTAGATATTTTTTCAAATTTGGTACACACCTATTCATCGAGATGCATTTTCTGATGTACAAATAATTTTATTATTTTTGCCAGTGGCGTCTGTACAGGTATTGTATTGAATATTTTTGAAGAAAAATATGTTACGTAACTGCTTTTTCTTAAAGTATCATTTTCGGAATCCTCATTCCTGTCTGAGCAAATGTGGTGTCTTGAATTTTTTTCGTTTGACGTACGGTTTTCGCATAAAAAAATAAAATTCATTCATTTGCATCTTATTGGACCACTTACGAAGAAAAAAAAGATTTATGTAACTTTGAACAATAATTTATTTAAGATAATAACTTTTAAACGTTGAAATTATTAAATTACAGTAATCTACATACATTTTGGAATGGTAAAAGAAATTACCCTGGCGTAACATATTTTTCTTCAAAAATATTCAATACAAACAGACGCCACTGCCAAAAATAATAAAATTGTTTGTACATCAGAAAATGCATCTCGATGACTAGAAGGCGTGTATCAAATTTGAAAAAATATCTAGGGTAATACCAAAGTCATAAAAAAATGTTTTTTCATGAAACTTTAGCATCCTGTAGTTCAAAAGTTGACTTTTAGGACATATCTATGTTCGTATGAAGTTTTTTTCTTAAAATGTATCCAAGAATAACCTCCTTAAATATTAGCACGTTATTAAGAAACACCCTGTAAAACCATAGTAGTGAAATTTACTTTATCTACAGTAAGTCCTTGTTGTAAACGGGATGTTGATATAATATACAAAAATGATAAATTATGGCACTAATTGCTTTAATACTTAATATAAATATTAGCTGTCGAACAGGAAAATATGTATTTTAGGGTGCAAAGATTAAAACGCTTTTATTATTTGTCTGATAATTGGTTTACATCGGAAGACATTAATTTTGTAGCATTTGCTGTTCTCAGTCGCTATAAAATTGATTATCGGAAAGGTAAAAATATTTATTTAAAATCGAATTTGTTCCCATATCTGGCAGAGTTTTATCCAGTGTCAGACTAAGTATTACTTGATTTTCGCAGGATGTTACACTGAAATAAAAATACTGCTGCATTATTGTAGAAGACAGAAAAAAGTTTAATTTTATAAAAACCAACAAAAATCACTTCTCTGTAAAAAATGCACAACATTCCTTTAATTTTCTATTTTATTTCTCTATCACAAACATTCCTCTGTGTGTACATTACTTGGTTGAGAGGACATGTAGGCAATATGGAAAATGACCATTGCAACACTTTTTTCCTTTTGAATTGACAAACCAACAAGCACATAGGAATAGCTTTTTTTAAATTTAATAGGTATCATTTTAAACTATGAGATAAAAGGATTGTCGATAAGAAATTTTATTTTAAACCTTGACGTTTACAAAAATTTCCAGATGGTTTTAAATGGTTCTTAGAATGTTGCCAAAAAAAAAACGTACAATAAAGTTCAACTGATCTTTACATCGTCTGAGCAAAGACAGTGTTTGTTATTAGGGTCTTACGTGTGGTATGTAGTAAGGTATATGGAGTCTCTGTGGGGGGTTGCCGTAATAGACTTTGTTCTCGATGAAGGAGACTATGAACGATGATGGTTATTGATCTGTGTCAACAGATTAGTCTAAGCTTGGGTGGGAACGTCTATAACTTACTACCTCCAGATACTGGGTTGAATAACTGATAAGTTGCTCTTGTGCGGAAAAGGTACTCCAATCAGTGAATACAATGGAAAAAATCGAATTAGATAGTTGAAGCTAACTAGAAGATAACGTTAGTTTGTGTTTGTGAAAACTGAATGTGTGGCTATGTCCAAGTATTGCAAAAATGTAAGTATATACAATTAGGAATTAAGAATGTACTCGTGAAATTAAGTTCTGAAATGCTAAATATGTTGGATTAGTGAAATAATTCTAATTTGGTTCACATAGACGATGAGAAAAAATAAATTGCCTTCAGATTTAAAAGTAAAAAAAAATAAGGAAACTTTTCTCTCCTTTTCACTCGGCAACCACTTCGTTGCACGACTTGGTATTTACCAAGAATCAAATGATTAGTTTCCTATCTGTATTGAGTTTGGAGTCGATTACCTCACCAAACCAGGGTAAAAGTTAGACTTTCTCGTACCATAAGCTCAAAACATAAGCTAATTAGGCAGAAAAAATTCCACACCATCAAACAGGTACCATTTTTTAGGAATGTAAATTGCTAATCAATTAGCCACACATGCTGAAAGATACGAACACTTGAAAACGATAATTGTTACATATCTCAACACGTGATGTGACCTTTATGTACTTCACAGCAAAGAAATTGTATCTATTAGCTAAACCCAGGTAAATCTTTGTATAGTTGTTTAATAGGCATATGCAATTAGATATTTAGCTAATATAAGGCATATATACTTACAGTTAAATAAATTTTCACATGTCTTACGACTTCACTATCATCGCAATGTGAACAGAATGAAGGCAAAGATAGAAGAAGAAACATGTCCAGTTCTGAGTTTGCAGTGACTGATAATTTGTATATCTACTATTTTTGATATAATATTGGTTTCGTTACATTAGACTGTACAACGCAACCATAATGAAAGATTAGAGTAGTACAACGCGTACTAACTAGGCACTTGGTCTCGATTAATAATCTGCGGATGATCAGAGTCGACGTTCAATTGCATGTTTTGACGATTCTCATTGCGAAAAAGGGTCAATTTTATTTGGCAGATGGCTCGGCGCTTGGTGGACACTAAGCAGTTTCTTTGAATTACGAGCTGATTTCCCAGAAAACTTTAATTAATTCAATTTTTTATATTTTATTAAATGTTAAACAGATCACTTTTTGGTAAAGTTAATATACAACGCCCTAATTTCTTGGAACAGTGTATTTTCTGTTTTATCTTAACAAATGGCAGTAATTGTTTTTCAGAGTATACTTTGATATTTAAGAAATAATCTATTCTAAAATTTTCTGTTGTAAAACAGACCTGACCCGATTAAAACATATGAGATTAGCTAAAAATTAGTTGTATTAAAATAAAAATTGTCTTTTTCTTCAAATATTTTTTTGATCGCGTGTTTCTAAGTATTAAATTATCTCAGTATCAAGTAAATGTCAATAAAAAATATGGATCACCCTACATACTCTTACTGATGTATTTTTTTATTAAAACCGGACTGTATTTTTCATTCTTCTGCACAAACAAGTGGTCTGCACATATTTTCGGCTATATCCGGAACCGGATCACGTATGCACCCCTCTGAATTATACACAAACACCCCAGCGTTTGGCACACAGGGTATAATCGTAAACATTTCCTCCGGTGAGTGCATGCGTTCGAACTGACTTTGGCGGAATATCATCATTAGCCATATAAACTTTTTTCGAATGTCGCAATTTGGATTGCAAATTTCCGAACGTGTTTCGATAGGACTTAGACGAGGTACGTGAGAAAATTACATCTTTGTGCGCGGATTATCGATATGGAAAAGAAAATATATGCTGAGGTGAGACATTGCCGACTATTTTGTTTCCGTTTTCATAAGGGATAAAATCCAAAGCAAATCTATTGAAGTGCGCTTTTTTGCTATGTTTACTTTCCAGAATTTAGCTATATTTATTTTAGTAACGGCAAAGCTTGTAGACTTTGTATTAACGATCCTTTAAATACGATCAAGCCTTATTTACTATTTTGTAAATTTCCCCATTAACTGCTTCATCATTAAGGAGTTTAAAACAAATAATATAGCAATATATGGAATTGTTATTGTGGATGTATTTTCTAACAGAATTTTCAATATTCCTATAAACTGTTTCAACAAAACTCTCAGGTTGTTGATTATTATTTATTAATACATTTTTT